CCACACTCCGATGTATTATTTCCTGAGCAACTTGAGTTTCTTGGACATCTGCTACACATCTACCACCATGCCAGTCCTGCTGGCGAACGTCTTCCAGGAGAAGAAGACCATCTCCTATGAGGGCTGCCTTTCCCAGCTTTTCTTCTTTGTGACGTTCGCCGGCACTGAGGGTGTCTTGTTGGCTGCTATGGCATATGACCGCTATGTAGCCATTTGCCGCCCGCTTCAATATCCAGTTCTCATGAGTATGAAGGTCAGTGTTTGTTTGATGACTGGGTCCTGGCTGTGTGGGCTGGCGAACTCTGTGACTCACACAGCGCTGACAGCCACACTCACTCTGTGTGGGCCCAACCAGATCAGCCACTTTCTCTGTGACGTCCCATTGCTCCTGAAGCTCTCCTGCTCAGACACCTGTGTTAACAAGTCTGTGCTCTACGTGGCCAGTGCCACCATCGGCCTGAGCCCCTGCCTGTTTACTGCAGTGTCCTATGCACTTATCATCTCTGCCATCCTAAGGATTTCCTCTGCTGAGGGCAGGATCAAGGCCTTCTCTACCTGTGCATCCCACCTCACTGTGGTGGTGGTGTTCTTTGGAACAGCCATCTTCAACTATGACAGACCCGATGTAGGCTACAGCCTGGACGTGGACATCTTGATCTCTATGCTCTTTTGTGTTGTGACCCCCATGTTAAACCCCATAATCTACAGCCTGAGAAACAAGGAGATCAAGGTTGCCCTGAAGAAGCTAGCTGGAAAACATGGATTCTCTAGTGAGATCAGTATCTAGATAATGTTTTCATTCTGGCAAATTTTTTATATATAGAAGAAATATATAGCATCTCTTGACAACTGTGGTGCTCCATACCACCAGGGCGAACAGCTATACCTGTGCTTAGGACTTCACACACTATGAGTTCAAGTGCCCTGTGTTCTCCACTCAATTGATATTTTAGAACATTTTCATCATCCCCCCCACAAAAACCTTGTACCCATAGCAGTCACTCCCCACTTCCCACCCTGCACCCCTCGCCACATTTTGCAACTCTAGACAACCACTACATCCTAGTATGTGTGAAGTGCTCTACCCAATGTGATTTTGATTTGCGTTTCTCTGATGGCTAATGATTCTAAGGTCCTTAATAAGCACCATTTCTGTTCTTTACATATGGAAAAATCCATGTTTTTAAGGGGATTTTGGAGCTTTAGAACTTAACTCTTGACACTATTTTTTTTAATCTCGATTTTGGGTGCAGTAAAATACTGCAAGATTTTCAAATTTATAGCCTTCTCCCCATCTGTGCCCTACAGAGCTGTTTGTTGGCTCTGCCTTTTTCTCCTCTAGAACTCCACACTAAGAAGTGTCATCACCAGGTTGTGAACCTTGGCAGGACCAGAAATCAGGGGGCAGGAAGGCAGAAGGGTCGCTGGTGGGGAGGGAGGAAGAACTGCACCCAGGAGAGCAGCCCTAAGTAGGAGTGGTGTAAAGTGAAGACAGCAGGTGTGCTGTGAGTCCTGTGGCTCCAGATACACGTCCCATCAGCAGGGTGTGAAGTGTCCAGGTATGAAGGGACAACTCCCCATGCTTTGTGAAATCCAACCAAATAAGCACACACCCACACCTACCCCTTATCTCCTTAATGGAAAGAAGGAGAAGCCAATCTCAGGGCTTCAGTCACCATGACTTTGTAATAGAAATCTAGTACTGAATTTCACTCACAAACATCCCAAAAGAGATAGAAAGCTGATCTCCACATTGTTGGGAAAAACACATGCTGGGAAAAAATGATTGCGACAGACTTAATGAATCCAAGAGAGAATTAATTGCTCTTTATTCTACAGTTTCAGTTCAGGCCGTGGCCCTTGAGTTGTGTTTGCACTCTGAGGAGTCCCAGAACAGCTGTTTAGAGAGAGATTAGACGGATGCTCCCAAAAGATCAGTCGCTAGGCCTCTATAAATGGCCACCCTAGAAAAATGAACTGTGGAGAGATCATATAGGATTTTTGACACCTGCATTAGGCAGTAATGATGCTCTAGAGAGCTCCCAGAATAGCAGTTTCCTCTCATGATGCATGGAGACCAACAGCCAGTTTTACCAAAGAGTATCCTTTCCAGCCTCGGTACCAGAGTGGAGGGCAGCAAGCCCCACTTCCAAAGCCAGAAATCCAAGGCTTTCAGCAAAAGTCAGTGACAAGTAACTTGTTTATTTACCATCACAATTGAGAAAAACTCCGCCGGTATCAGGATATACCTACCCCTTTAGAACATATTATAGAATATTGTGATATTTTCATTACCATTTTGATGGCATTTATGTAATGACGTATTTTTAATACCATCTCTGTGTGTGTATAAATTTCTTCAATAGTTCTTATAGAACCAGAGTAGAATTTATGTTACAGATTATTTTAAAACCTGAGGGATGACTGAATTCATTAAGTAAGATTATATGAGTGGAAAATGTGTTCATTGTAAGTAATATATAATGCAAAGTGTTAGTGCTCTATTTTTGACAAGCAGGACAGAAAGGAATAATTTTCAGGAAGAAAGTGTGGAGACACCTTTCCCCAATGATGCATTACCATATGACAATAGGTGCACACAAAATATTTGTTTAAATAAATATAATTAAACTTGCACAAAACGTATGTTTGGAGACATATTTATTTGCTGACTAAGCGTTCTCATCTTCATATTCCAGCACACTGATGTTTGGAAGGTGTGTTTCAAGCAATTTATTAACTGTAATAAAGCTTGTGAATGATTTACTTCACTCACAATCCCTTTTTTTAAGAAATATCATATATTTGGGGTTATTCCGAAGTAATTTCATTCTCAATTATTTGCCTTAGAGATGATTTATTGATTGGGGATATAAAGAAGCAGAGTCGTTGCTCTTGGGTGGAAACTGAGCAGAATTTGCTACGTGACCTCCATTGGAACCGTTGTTCTGATGGGAGAGGAGAAGGCTAAGATGACCACAGGTCAAGGGGTCATTGTGCTACATTTATGCCTCCACAGGCTATTTTTCTCAGGTCTGTAAAATGTATGCTCCAGAACTGCTGAACAGAAATGTCCTCTAGAATTCAGCAGAAATGAGGTTAGTATTTACATTTTCAAATTGTTTTGAGAATAAATGGGATAATTCATGAAAACTGCCTGACACACAGCATGGGCTCAACGAGTATCAAATGGGAGTTAGGAATATGCACAAGAGGACAGGAAAACACAATGCTCCGCTTTGAGGTGGTGTTGACTGGCTAATCACACATTTTCCATGAAGGTGCCCAATGCTGAAGAGTTGAGAACAACAAGGTCTTCTTGTCATCACCACCAGAGGCTGTTGAGATGGAAAGGACCTCAGAAGCCAACCAGTCTAAATCTGTTTTGGAAATACTGATATGGAAGCCTAAATCATGCTCTAACAAAAGCAAATCTGTAGGTTTACTCTCTTTATATTTTTAAAGGGGTGTGTGATTTGGGCCAAATGTGAGAGGGACAAAAGTTGGAGCAATCCAGAAGGAAAGAGCCAACTCTGGGCACCCACACTCCATGCCTTTGCTCCCCTGCTGTGTCCACCTCAAATGCTCATCCCACATCTCTGTCTGTCTAAATCCGTTAGGGTCCACCGCAATGCTATGTCTTTAAAGAAACTTTTGCTATGTCTACTACCATAGACGTTCTTTAGGGCCTTCTTCATTCATCAAACATTTTTTGAGCACACACTGTACATGAGGCCCCAGGCTAGTTTTTAGCACAGAATCCAAAGGCCTGGACTGTGACCTCGAGGAGCTCGTATTCAAGATGGAATGAGGGGCTTTGAGCAAATACAGCACGTCCCATTCCTAGAGGTGTTCAAACAGAGGCTCTCTAACCAAAGATTGGTAAAAAATTAAAACAATAATTTTAAAACAAACAACAAACAAAATGTAATACAGCTTTCTGCCTCATTTGTAGTTTATTTTCCCATTAGACTGTAGGCTTGTTGAAGACAGAGATCAGGTCTTACTGCCCTTTGGGTTTCTTCATAACACCTAGCTTGGGGCTCTATTAGAACCTACGGAGGAACTGAATTGGTTTGAACTGAAAACTAGCTGCTACCAAGAAAAGGCTGTTGGAAAACGCTGAAAGGAAATAAGAATTTCATGCCTTGAAGAATTTTATAGCTGGAAGACTCTGACATATCCTAAGAGGTAGTAATTTGTCTTCCCCTCCCACTTCACACTAGGAAAAGCACAGGTGAGATTTAAAGCGCTGATAGAAATGTTAAATGCTGTAATGAATTTCTAAGACAGGATGGAGAATTTTTCTTGGTGAATTTGTTAAGACGACCTACTAGTTAAGAGTAAATGCAGTTCAGCCTGTTAGGTGGGAGTAGCCTAGACTTGCTGCTAAAGTGTGGTCTATGAACCAGCGCATTGGGAGCTTATATGAAATGCAGGTGATTTACATGCACATTAAAGTGTGAAAAGCACTGGACTGCAGGATGACCTCTGAATATTCCATCTGGTCCTGGGCTCGTGTATTATGGGGAATGTACAAATAGAAATCTGGGCCAGGCAAAAATAGCTCATATTTTCATTGAGATAAATTAACTTTTCCACAAACACGTGAAACTATTTGGACTTTCTTTTAGATAAATTGTCCTGTGTGCACGTGTGTGTGTGGTTTAAGTAGATCAACAATTTACTGTGCAACATAAAAATTTGATTTAAAAATTTTTATCATTGCTTTGTGTTATTGAAATTAAATATGAATAGATGTTTCCCTGATGTGCTGTAAGGGTTTTCACAATCATACCAGTTTAGTTTATGCTCATTTTGTTTCTTTTGAGGAAATAAACCCCCTTAAGGATAATCAACAAAACATTTCATTTATTGCCAAAGCAAACAAAAAATTTCCTCTTTTAAGACCTCTAGGCTTGTTTATTTTCTACAGTTTACATTTAGATTTAAAAATTATTTATGCTTACGTTCAGTACCAACTTTCTATTGAGACAAAATTATTTATGCTTACGTTCAGTACCAACTTTCTATTGAAACAAATACTTTAAGCTCCTTAAGGCCCTGAGATCTGAAATTTTTAATGAGTGCTATATACTGGCCTATTAATCATTTGCCTTGAATTCTTAGATCAAAGATAAGAATGCATGGGCTTCGAAGACTATAAAGTAATTTACAAATAGAAGATAACTTTATCAGGTAACATAAAGTATCACTATAAGTAATTGTTGGGAAAATACAGGAAAATGGTCAGGGCCCCTCAGATGTTCAGAATCTTGCAGAGCATTTGATGTAAATATGCGCGTGCATTCAGGCGTTCCTTGGTTATTGTCTAATGTAATTGCGCATGTGCGCCCAGGTGTCCTGGGTTATGTACTTAAGCAAAAGGATGAGTGGCTCTGATCTATGGTGCTCCTCATCCGCGGGATGCCCCCCCCCCCC